TGAATTATGGAAAGTCAAGTCAGTGGACTTGCCAAAATCGAATTAGGAAAGTCATGATATGAGAGTAACATGCATCACCATACGTATCATATTGCACACAGCTCATAACATAATGCATATAGCACATAACTTATTGCACATAGCACATAACATATTGCATATAGGACATAACATATTGCACATAGCACATACCATATTTTATAGCATTCGTTCATATGCCATGATACCTTGGAATCATGGGCTTGAGATTAGGACTTCCCAAAATGAGGGCTCAACATATAGGACCTCAACTAGGGAGCCTTCTTTAGCAAACACAAAGTCTGCTTCATTCATTCATACGTAGTTCATTTTCATTCGTTCGTAAGCTAGTGTAAACACCAGCCATACCTAGGATGTAGTTGAAGAATTTCATCAGTTTCGTTGTGCAATAACCAAGAATGACAGTGTCCTTACTTAAGTCTAGCTCACCTCATGATTATCCTATCCTAATACCTTTGGTATCGTTCATTTCATTATGTGCATTACTTGAGGTTCGCCTCATTCTTTCTTTGGAAACTTTAACCTTAACCGACATAGAGCATGTGAGCATTATGAAATCTAGTGTTTAACCCCACACCAAAAAGAGGTGGAATAACCGGCCAAAGTGAACCAAAATATGCTAGCGTATATAGGGAATCGAACCCTGCTAGAACCCTATAATGGCAGTATAGGTTCAAAGACTAGGAGATATAAGGAGACCCATACCCGTCTGGATGGACAGTCTCATCTCATGAGAATTACACGAACCTCTGCCTTCTTGAAAGAAGGAATCGCAACTCATAGTTAGCCTATCAGTGCTCAGTATAAAGTTCCATTACATTCATCTCATACATCATAGAAGTTGTTTTCTAGCATGAGGGCATCATAGCTCATTAATTTATTTCTCACCTCTCACTTTTCGCTTTAGCCTCTTATCATGTTGTCACCGCACTCTGTAACTTTGGCACATTAACTCTTCGTAATACTCACTGTTTTACGTGAATGTTCATTTCATCGTATGCCAATACACTTGCACCTTTAATGTGTATCACACTCTTACTTAACCCCTATGGGGTTTCATTATCTCATCACCTAACATCTTAGGATCACTTACTTTTAAACGTATGCTAGACTTATGAGTCCACTCACACAAGCCATGAGGTTCCATTCATAGTTTGTCTAAGTGATTCATATTTAGCCAAGATTATGTGGTACAAGACTTATGCATCTTGTAGATATGCCAAAGATTTCGATTTCGATCATTGGAGGCAGCATTCATTAAACATTTGTTCACATATGACTTATGTATCAATACGGAATTGGGCAAGGGAACCCGATTTCGAATATCTTAAGTAACACTTAGTCTTATATTAAACTAGATGATTGCATTTTTCAGATTTGGGGGACCCTAGTTCGATCCCCATCACTCCCATAATATTTCCTTTCTTTTCCTCTTCTCTTTTTCGTTTAAGGCAAGGAGGTTGTTGGATCAATCCCCCACAAGCTCATTCTTTTTCTCTTAATTTATCTTTTAACTTTTTCAACTATTCAATCCCCACTCTTCACATTTATTTTTCTCCTTTATTTTTCTCCTAACTCTCTCATCCATTCAAGAGGTCATGGGTTCAATCCCCACTCTCCACATTTATTTTTCTCCTTTATTTTTCTCCTAACTCTTTCATCTATTCAAGAGGTTGTAGGTTCAATCTCCTACTCTCCACATTTATTTTTCTCCTCTCTCATCTATTTAAGAGGTTGTGGGTTCAATCCCCACTCACCTCATTTTATTATTCTCCTTTATTTTTCTCCTAACTCTCTCATTTATTCAAGAGGTTGTGGGTTTAATCCTGACTCACCTCATTTTATTTTTCTCCTTTATTTTTCTCCTAACTCTCTCATCTATTCAAGAGGTTGTGCGTTCAACCCCCACTCACCACATTTTTTTTCCTTTCGTTTTTATCATGAAATTTTTATGTAATTTGCATTTGGAGAGGTCTTGGATTCAATTCCCAATGACCTCACAATTTTTAAAAGTTTTTTAAGTAAAGCTAAATTTTCAAATTTTTGGCCGAGACCAACATTTCCAGCAAGCTAAAAATTAGGTCTCTTTCAATCCATCTTTCTCTCAAGTTTTTATATTGATTCTTGGAGTAATTCGGGTGAAATTTTTCCAGAAACATTACCCTTATATGAAAATCACACCTTAGCATTTACATATACGAGAACACAACATTCATAACATACGAATTTCAGGCAGCAACATAGTTAATTTACAGCACACCAATGCTCAAACAATTAACGTAAAACACTTTTCCGGAATACATGTTTCATTCCTTACATAATTTCCAAATACACAGTCAATACATAATCACAAACAGACCTAAAATTATCGACCAAAAGACATGCCAACACATGCTTTAAATCTTTCAAAGGATCTATAGACAGGGGCATGCAACGGGGACAATTGTAGTTTTTCAATTACGATTAAACTGAACTTTAAGGGTCTCTTGGGAAAGGGGCCAAGAGAGAAGAAAACCCATACCTTAATGTCATTCAACACTTGTTTCAACGCTGCCAATTGCCACGACACCACTGCCTCACCACCGAAATCTAAAACACAATTCGTCGAGAAGAATGTTGTTGATTTTCATTTTTAGCGTAGCTTTTCGTTTGAGTTTTTGTGTGTTATTCCTTCAAGAGTGAAGAACTATTATTTTCACTTCTTTTGCTAATGAAAAACGTGATAATGAGAGTGAGAGACGTGAGAATGAGAAGATTAGGATTAGGAGAGCTAGGTGGAGACTTAGTCAAACTAGGACTCCTCATTATTTATTAATATTATTATTATTATTTTCTATTAAAAATCTGATTTTCCTTTAATTAAATCAGCAAATTAAATATTAATTAATTTAACTAATTCACTAAATACAATAAATCAATTAAATCATTGCTTCCACCAACGCTCAAACCCGGGTGGAGCCAGATTTTGCTTAAAGGGTCAAATTCGGCAACCTCTACCTGAATTGCCCCTCCACCATATTAATTAATTAATTGATTGATTAAATATTTAGGGTAATTACAATACTATCGTTGTCCTGGAAAAGACCATTTTACCCCTAGACCCTCCAAACTTAAGATTACCCCTTTTTAAGTCCAGTTAAGACTCATCCGGATAAATCATCATATTCGGGTGCCCTACATGGCTGGAGCAAACCTTTCCTAGCTCAACTAACTCAACAAGTTAGTTGTCTTGGCTGTTGCACAGGTTCAGAGGTCTGGTTCTACGTGCATCATTCCGTGTGAACCCGCTCTAATATACGCATTCTAGATACATTAGGCATTACTTAGCATAGTCATTTTAGGGTTGTTACAAAAAAAAGAGCAATTACTCAGCAATGTTAATGAGGAAGAGAGAGAACAATCGTTCGAGAATTCTAGAAATTCTGGTGCTATTGTGGATGAACCAGTGGTGTCAGAAACAACGAATTGTCCTATGGTGAGTTTGATTTTTAATTTCAACGCATTCAACTGATTAAGTTAACAGTTGAGACGTAATGATTGAGTTAATCGTGTACAAAAATAAATTTGAACTCAAAGTAGGGTCAACGAAAGGCAATTCCACAACACTATGAATTAGGAAGAGAGAAGAATCGTCCGACTAAGGCTTTAGGATGCACTTCTTCTTGAAATGCTCATCAGTGTTTAATTGGTATTACAAAATTTATTTGCTGTTTTTGTAGGTTTTGTTACAGTAGTTTTGATGTTTAATTTGGATTTGAGAATCTAGAGTATTTAGCCTTTGTTTCTAGATTTTTGGTGAAAGCAGAGTGAAAATTATGGTTTCTAGATTATTTGTGAAAGCATAGTGAAAAATTAATCTTAATTTTTTTAGCACAATTACTTTCACTTAAAATTCTTAATTGTGCTAAAAAAATTTAAAAAAATCAATACTACTTTTTCAGAAATTCAATTAACTTTCAAACTTAATGGAAAACTAGATTTTTCTGTTGTGTCTGTGGTGGTGGGGGGGGGGGGTTGTAAGCTTTTTTTTTTTTTTTTGGAAAAATAGTTTCTTTTTGTTTTGGTTTTTGAAAAATAAAAAAAATAGTGATAGGTTAGTGGAAGGTGGGGAGGAGGTAAATTTATTTATTTATTTTTTTGGAAAACAAATAAAAAATTAGGAGTGCCACAGGGGAGGGGGTCAATTTTATTTTTATTTTTTAAAAAAACAGACTTTTTTGTTTTTGAAAAACAAAATATTTTTAGGGGGGTAGTTTGGGGGGGGAGGGCGACATGGGTAGGCGGTTCTCGGGGGAGGGGGTAAGTTTTTGTGTTTTTTTTTGTTGAAAAAACCATTTTTTTTGTTTTTGGAAAATAAAAAAAATTAGGGGTAGGTTGGTGAAAGGTGGGAGGAGGGGGGGGGGGAACGAAGGGGTGCCCTGGGGGTGGGGGTATGTGGACAGGGGTACATTTATATTTTTGAAACAAATTTATTTAAATGGGTTTAACCATTTTGCTCAAACCATATTTGACAAGACCCATATTTGTTCTTATTATATTTGTATGGAATTGTAATTCAAACCATTTTTTTCTCAAACTATAGTCCGTCCATGCAAATCCGATCCAATCCAACCGTTTCCCACCCCTACTACTGACAACATCACTGAATTTTTTTGAATAAAATATAACCTAAAACGTTACTTAGAAACATATTTATACTAGTTTTGTAAAATTAAAAAAAAACGTATTATTCTAGTGAATTGATATTAATAACGACTTCTTTTGGTAAAAAATTCTAATATTTTTTCTTCGAACCTTCTCAATGGAAATCCTATATCCTCCACTGATTTGCTTACCTACTAATGAGATTTGGTAAGTGTTATGATGACCTGAGTTTTTGAGTCATGACATAAATTAAAATAAATTTCAATTGATTGTCGATTGAGTAATATATATAGTTATGTTCATTACTTGAGAAAATATTGATGATCAAGTAAACTATAGCTTCAAAAAAGTTGGTAATTTAATGTCAAAAAAGAACATCATATAAAATTGTAAATGCTAAAGCTGAGGGGACATATATATATATTGAATGAAATTAGATAAAGATTCCAAATTTTGGATGCTTTACCAACCTTTGCCTATAAGCCACAACCAATCTAGAGTTACACCAGCAAATATACCTCCTAAAAGAAACAAAACTAGAAGATTTCCTAATGCATTTTGCTCTGGTCCCTGTAGGATATATAAACCCAAAATCAATTTTCAGATACATGACTTTGAAATATAAGTAATTATTAATTAGGGTAAAAACATGAGATAACCTTGTAACCTTTTGGTGCACAAGTGAGGACACACACTGTGAGGTGCCCATTACTCAGTCCCAACAAGGATGTTAACATAATCATCCATCCTTGATCACCATATTTGGCTGTGAAGTAGAAAGCAGGTACAAATAGAGAACGCAAAAGAATCACTACCATCAGCCCTTTCCGCGATTCCAGCTTTAAGCATTTGATTAGTGGGATATATCTCCCTATGAGATCCCATACATTGTACATTGCGATAAGGACAAGTGCATACCTATAAATTTGTACAAACGTAAGAATGAAAGAGTTATTGCACATTATAAAGTTTTAACAAAAAAATTACAAGAGAAATCAACCATGATCCTAAGCTGTGAGATCCAGTATCCTCAGACAAGAATCCAGGGAAAATCGATAATGTTAGAGCATATATCAGAAACAAATCTATTGCATAGTCTATGTTCTGCAATAACAATTCTTTGTTGTTAAGTCGCTCAACTTGTTGTGGATCATGTTCATTCTACAACAAAATTAACACAAGAGCAACAGTGTTAGTACCAATACAAGTTACTATATATGACCCATCAATTTAAGAAAAAGTTGCAATGACCTTTGTATCTGGTCCTTGTTTGTAAACTCCGGCTGCAGCAAGGTCACTAGCAACAGTCTTTGATCCCTCTGAAGCTGCTTTTGCACGATAGTACTTCACTATTGGTAGCTTTGGGAAGACAAATGCATATAGGAGGACACAAAGCAACTCAAAGAGTGTGGATATCGCGAAGAACAAAACTGCAGCAGAGAGTTTCAGCAAATGGAATAGCATTGTAAGATATAGTCTTAAACAAAAATAAATCAATTTATTGGTAGAAATTAAATGACGAGATCCATCTAAATGTTTTCAATATGAGCACAAGCCTATGTCAAAGTCATTTTGCGTTTGCCTTTTTAGCAATTTGGATCATTAGCAGAAATAAAACAGTAATATGTTGTGACACATACTTGCACCCTTTCGAAGACCGTCTTGTGAATTTTCAAATGCTGCTTTGGTAATTAGTCTTAACGAAGATGTTAGAGCACCAGATGCAGCCAATCCAGCAAGAAAAGACTGAAAATAACGTTTTATTAAAAACGAGAAATGTAGAGAAGGTGAAACAAATGAGAAAGAGATGATGTAGATTAATTAAACCTGCAAAAATTCAGGTAACATGAATGAAAGGTCTCCAATCATTCCACCTTGTACATGAGCATCTGCAACTCCAAAGGCACCACTAATAACACATATCCCAATAAAACTTCCTAACCCTCCCTTAGCAGATGTAGCTAAATCCAACTGTTAATGTAACATTAGAAAACAAAAATTAGATCTATCAACAATAAAAGAAATAGTGTAAGTGAAACAGAAAAATGAATGCAAATAATTACTTACAAGAAGAACTATAAATGTAGCTATGAAAAAAAGACTATATCCAAAAAGATTCCTTTTCCTTGTGTTAATTTTTGCTTCATTGTAAGCCAACATTGCAAGTGTTCCCAATGCAAATGGTTGATAAATGAGCGTAAGAACCCGCGAGGAATGATAATTCTGCACATACACCAAATTTCAAACATTATTGTTTGCTCACAATATTAACATATTTCAAAGCTGAATCCGCACTTACGGGAAAGAGGGCGACATAGTAGTCCTGAATAGTTAACATACTGTTCCAAGAGAAGAGACAGCCATTGCCCAAAACCCAACAGACAAGCATTGCGCCATACTTGCCCTGCAAAAGTTAACACAAATTAGAACAAAGTATTTACATAGTCACGAAATACAGAAAAAGAAATACGAACCTCAAGTCTAACTGGAGCTCTAGTATAAACCTCAGCCATTGATAATAATAGTACTATAGATTGATTTCAGCAGCAGTATGTATGCATTTAGTATCAAATATGATATCAGAAAGAACCTAAACAAGAGTTGAGCAAATCAAATCAAAGTCAAAATAACAATAAGCCCCAAATAAAGCGGATCACATTTCCTGATCCTACTAATTACTACTTATCCCTATCCATATTTATATCTATCAAACCTTTATTTTAATTTATTTACTTCACATAAATTTTAAAAAATATTAAATCATACTTTTGAACCTTATCATTTAATTAATGATATATTTTAATCTTGTTAACTTAAAAATTTATGTGGAAAATTTAAATTAAAAAAATGCTAAAAATAGAAAAAGATTTATTTTTTAAACACACTAAAAAAAAGGAGAACGAATGCATGAATAAAAGAATATACTATATATTAAATACATTTAAACAACTAATGCATCTAACTCTTTATCAATAAAAGGATGGGTAAAACTTATTCGCACCGAGTGTTTACATCAAGTCAATTCATGCATATTATGTGTTTAAATTTATAGTCCATTTTACTTTATTAAATCACATAATAATAAAAATTGTATTGATTTGATGTAAACATTTGATACGGATAAATTTTTTTCTAAAAGAATTGTTCTGTTTTTTTTATATACTAGTTGAATGAATGTACATGTTCTGTTATTTATCACATGTTAGTAAATAAATTATTAAAATATATGTTATATCTATTTAAATGATTTCCGAAAAAAATAATCTATTTAAATGACGTAAATATAAGTTATACCTCAAATATGTTAATATGGATTGGGTTCGGTGTACATTTATTTTTGTCTCTTTGTTTGTTTTATCACAGAAATTTATTTATTTATTTGAGACATTGATGTTTTTTAAAAGTGCAGCCTATTTATCCATGTGAAATATAATATTGCTAAAAAGTACACGTCAACCTTTAATATAGTTTGACATTATAATTTGTTTATTTTGTAATTACAAATCACAACTGTACATATTTCAATCAATGAAAAATTCTTCTTATTTATGATTAAAATATAATTTTTATTTTCTTATAATAAGAGACAAATTTAAAATTTGAAGAGTGTTGGTGTACCAATTATATTTAAGCATAAGCGAAGCAAAATTAAAATAGTTGTTGATCAACGTGGGTTTATAAGGAGGTATTTCCTCACTTCTACCAGCAATTCAAAGTTCATTAAGGGCGCACTTTTAATTATATTCCTTATTAAAAGTGCATACACTCATGATTTTTTTTTCCGAAATTAACGGACGTATGTGCACCCCTACCTTTACATGTGAGTCCGCCCCTTCTTACAATAATTTTCTATTTTATAAGTATGATTTTGACAAAAGAAATGGCACCAACCCGAACTCTTGTACCACAAGCAGAGAAATCGGGTAAATTCACCGGTGTGAATTTCAAAGGATGGCAGCAACGAGTATTTTCTGGCTTACCTCTCTTGGTCTATAGAAATTTACAAGTGAAGATACTCCAGTTCTTACTGATGATATGCCAGACAGGGAAAATTCATGATTATTGAAGCATGAAAACAGGCAAACTTCCTATGTAAAGGCTACATTTTGAGTGCTTTAGAGGATGACTTATATCATGTCTATAGTGCAATAACAACTTCAAAAGAGTTGTGGGATGCACTTAAGAAGAAATATAAGACAGAAGATGCATCTTGAAAAAGTTTGTGGTCGCAAAATTTTTAGTTATAAAATGGTTAGATAGTAAAATTGTTGGATCACAAGTGCAGGAACTTCAACTTATCATGATTTGATTGCTGAAGATATGGTAGTAAATGAAGCTTTTCAAGTGGATGCAATGATCGAGAAGTTGCCTCCTTTGTTGAACAATTTCAAGAATTATCTAAAGCACAAGCGTAAAGAAATGAAGTTTGCTCTTGTGATTCGGTTCAAGATTGAGGAAGATAACAAAAACGTCGAAAAGAAGTCTCGTAAGAGTTCAACAATCATTGGAGTTAATATTGTTGAAGAAGCTCCTATCAAAGACAAAAAGAGAAAGAAGTCCAACGGGCAGAAGTCAGAACAGGCCAACAAGAAATTCAAAGGCAACTGTTACAATTGTGGCAAGGTTGGTCATAGGTCTTCTGATTGTCATGCTCCAAGAAAGAACAAAAACAAAGGCAAAGACAAAAGTCAAGCAAACATCGTGGAAAAGATGAAAGATGCAGATGACTTGTGTTCAACGATATCGGAGTGTAACTTAGTTGGAAATCCCAAGGAGTGGTTTCTCGACTCAGGTGCCACTAGACATTTTGCTCTGCGAAAGAAGCCTTTGCAACGTACTCCTGCTGAGTACAATGAAGATTTATTCATGGGAAACACAGCAACAACAAGGATTGCAGGAACTGGGAAAGTAATGTTGAAAATGACATCGACAAGGTGTTGACTTTGTACAATGTTCTGCATGTCCCTACTATTAGGAATAATTTAGTTTCTGCTGCACTACTCGTTAAGAATGAGTTTAAGTGTGTCCTAGTTTGTGATAAAGTTGTAATAAGTAAGAATGAAATGTTCATAGGATAGGGCTACCTCAATGAGGGTCTTTTCAAACTAAATGTAATGATTGTTGACAGTATTAATAAAATAAGTGATTTATGGCATGTCCGTTTGGGACATGTAAATTACAAAGCCATGTGAAAATTGGTTAATCTAGAAGTATTGCCTGATTTTAAATGCGATAAGTCGAAACGCAAAATTTGTGTGGAAAGTAAGTTTGTTAAACATCCTTACAAGTCTGTTGAAAGAAATTATAAAACTTTAGACTTAATTCACACAGATATATGCGATATGAAGTCAACAACATCTCGTGGTGAAAAAAAGTATTTTATAACTTTTATTGATGACTGCACTCGATTTTGTTATGTATATTTGCTTAATAGTAAGGATGAAGCAATTGATGCATTTAAGCAATATAAAAATGAAGTGGAGAACCAACTGAATCTAAAGATAAAAATGATTCGGAGTGATAGGAGTGGAGAATATGAATCTCCTTTTGCAGAGATATGTTTGGAATATGATATTATTCGTCAAACTACTGCACCTTATACACCATAGTCAAATGGCTTGGCAGAACAGAAGAATAGAATATTAAAGGAAATGATGAATGCCTTAGTGATCAATTCTGGTTCACCGCGAAACCTTTGGGGGGAAGCCATCCTTACAACTAATAAAATTCTCAATAGATTACCCCATCGAAAAACACCATCAATTCCATATGATTTGTTAAAAGGAAGAAAATCCAACTTGAAATATTTCAAAGTGTGGGAGTGTTTAGCAAAGTTAGAGGTTCCTTTACCGAAGAGAGTTAAAATTGAACTCAAAATAATATATTGTGTCCTTATTAGGTATCCTGTGAATAGTAAAGCCTGTCAATTTTTAATTCACAAATTTGATAATCCTGAGATTCATGTTAATACGATAATTGAATCAGATAATGCAGAGTTTTTTGAAAATATTTTATCCGTATAAAACTGAAAGTGAGTCAACAAGTGAAAGACTTAAACGACCACGAGAAGAATCAATGGAAAATATTCTAACTAGTGAGGAACCTAGACGTAGTACTCAGCAATGAAAATCTGCTTCTTTCGGACCAAGAACCTAGACGTAGTACTCAGCAATGAAAATCTGCTTCTTTTGGACCAGATTTTGTAGCACTATTGCTTGAAAATGAGCCTCAAACATTTAAAGCAACTATGTCTTCATCAGAGTCAACTTATTGGAAAGAAGCAGTCAACAGTGAGATTGAATCAATTTTAAGCAATCACACTTGGAATTGGCTGATCTTCCTCTAGGAAATAAAGGGTACAGAAAAAAGGAAGGTTTTGAGTACTTTGAAACATACTCTCCAGTAACAAGGATAACATCAATTAGGATGTTAATAGCACTAGCAGCAGTGCATGATCTTAAAATCCACCAAATGAATGTAAAGACATCCTTCTTAAATGGAGAGTTGGAGGAAGAAATTCACATGGAACAACCTGAAGGGTTTATAGTTCCTGGTAAAGAAAAGAAAGTGTGCAGACTTGTGAAGTCACTTTATGGACTCAAGCTAACACCTAAACAATGGCATGCTAAATTTGACCAAACAATGTTGGTATATGGATTCAAGATTAACGAATGTGATAAATGTGTTTACATTAAAAATGTTATGAATCATGAAGTCATTGTTTGTTTATATGTTGATGACAAGTTAATAACGAGTAAAAAATTGACGATATAAATGTCACTAAGCGCATGTTGTCCAGCAAGTCCGATATGAAAGACTTAGGAGTTGCATATTTGATCTTAGGGGTCAATAGGGGTCAAGATTATCAAAACTCTCCTGTAACTAGCATTATTTCAATCTCATTATATTGAAAAAGTATTGGATAAGTACAAATACTTGAATTTCAATGTTGTCAAAACTCCAATTGATTTAAGTTGTACATTTAAAAAGAATGAAGGTCAAAGTGACTCTCAATTGGAATATGTCAGAGTGTTGGGAAGTTTGATGTATATTATGAATTGCACGCGACCAGATATAGCATGTGCTATTAGTAAATTGAGTCGGTACACTAGTAATCAAAATCAAACTCACTGGATGGCAATGAAATGTGTGTTGGCTTATCTCACATATACACAACATTATGCTTTGCATTATAATAAATATTATGCTGTGATTGAAGAATATAGTGATGCAAATTGGATCACCGGGTCAAATAATATAAAATCCATGAGCGGTTATATGTTCATACTTGATGGAGGAGTAGTCTGTTGGAAATCGTCCAAACAAACATGTATTGCACGCTCCACAATGGAATCTGAGTTCATTGTTTTGGATAAGGCTAGTGAAGAAGTGGAATGGCTCTGGAATTTCCTAGAGAATATTTCATTCTTGCCCAAACCTGTTGGATCAATTTGCATACATTGCGATAGTCAAGAAGCAATAAGTAGGGCAGGGAGCGTTATGTACAACGGGAAGTCTCGTCATATACGACGGAGACATAATACCATAAGACAATTGCTCTCTAGTGGAATTATCATAATTGACTAAGTAAAGTCAAGCGATAATGTGTCAGATCCACTAACGAAAGGCCTAGTGAGAGAGGCAGTTGAAAGAACATCTAAGGGAATAGGTTTACGGCTTAGGACAAGTCAGCATGACGGTAACTCGATCTAGCAGACTTGAGATCCCAAGAGCTAGATTCAAGGAGAAAAACAAAGTTGTAGCTGACGGTTCG